ACGTTTGGAGACATTTTACAAGATGAAAAACCTTGTTCAACTGGGTCAAAAGCACTGTCATCCAGAAGAAACAGGGGAACATTCAGCAAAATTATCAATTTCAATCATCTGTTTTACATTATGTCATCAAAAAGATACACAGTAGAGGAGCACCTGGGTGGCTCATTTGTTTAAGCATCCACTCTTGATTTCGGCTGAGGTCATGACCTCAGGTCATGGAACTGAGCCCCACCATCAGGCTCTGTACTCCTCTCTGAGTCTGCCTGTCCCTCTGCTCCTCCCCTACTTGCACCCGCTCTTTCTCTCTCTCTCAAATAAATAAATAAAATCTTTTTTAAAAAAGATACATAGTAGAGTTATTAGTAAATTGGGAAATGATCAAGGTGAGCCAAACCCAGCCCTTGCTCTGAGCTCCCTTCAGACACCTATTGCCTTTAGCCGCCATCTTTACCTTCCTCTAAACTGTACATAACCTCTCCCTCCTATGAGCTTCTGAAACTGTGCCTCTTCAGTAATGCCTGTCAGCAGCTGCCTTCTTAATAGCTATATATTAACATGTCTTCTCCATTCTACCACGCTGTAGGTTCTTTTAGGTCATTCTAGCATCTCCCTAAAACTGCACACAGTGGGCTTCCTAACTGTGTCACATCTAAGTGACTACGTACGAAGCATGCCACTGTGATATCTGTATCAGGGGAGCTGGGATGCTTTTTTTTTTTTTTTTTTAAAGAAATCTGACTTTCTTATAGAACAATGACTAAAATAATACATTGGTATGTGTGTGCATATCAATTCCTTTTTTTAGAAGTAGGAAATCTATAAAAACTTTTTAAAACAATTTCTTATTACTACACTCATTCATAGAAAAGCTAGAATATATAGAAATGAAAATTGAAGATGGACCAGAAAAAAAGCATTATATTTTAAATTATACCCTTCTGCCTTTTCTCTAAGTAAAGATAGCCTGGTATAGCTACTGATGTACATATCTGTATGTTTTGGTATATAGATATACAGAACTATATATTTTTGTTGCATTTCCTCCCTTAACATAAAGTACATATTTTTTGTAGGTCATTAAACATTATTTTACAACCTAAATGTTTTGACTGTATAGTATTAAAAAATGTGTGTTCCATAATTTATATAATTTCTTATTTTTCTTCCTTTCACTTTTTTTTAAATCATGCTGCAAAAACAAAACAAGGTTGGTGAATGTTCCCCCATATTTCTCATGAAACAGCAGTGCTGGGGCACCTGGGTGGCTCAGTCGGTTGAGTGACTGATTCTTAATTTCAGCTCAGGTCATGATCTCAGGGTTGTAGGATGGAGCCCCACGCTGAGCTCTACACTCAGTGTGGAGTCTGCTTGAGATTCTGGCTCTCCCTCTCCCTCTGCCCCTCTACTCACTCTCTCTCTTACTCTCAAAATAAATAAAATCTTTAAAAAAAAAAAAAAAGTAGTGCTTTTGGACTAGTTGAATAAGGTTTCTAATCCTGCAAACTGTTTCGATCTCTACAGCTATAGTTTTGACTATATCACTGATTACTCAAAATTAATTCATACTGAGGGATTGTTGGGTCAAAGAATAAGCCTACTTCTACTATTTCCAATGCATATTGCCCAAATCAGCAGTGCACAGTTCTCAGTATCTCCACCTGTACCAGGATTACCATTTTGAAAAAACTTTTCCTTACATAGCATTTTGAAATCAGTCTCCAGAACGCACCTCCCTCAACTCTCTACTTTTGTCCCCTAGTGTCTTGCTGACCAATCTTCTCCACTGCCTTTCCCAAACCTTTCATGTTTTTCCACAGCTCAACATCTTATGAAGGTTTTGCTATAACAATGTAATTTGCCTAACTAGTATTTTATCCCCTTAGATTCTTACAGCCAAAGTGTCAATCAACTAATCTGAAAAACTAATCCATGCTAATGTAAAAGGGCTCATTTCCAGCAACCTGTGTGCAAGATAACTAGTGCAATTTAAGGAATATAGATTATTTGATCCATAATGCATTTGATTGACCTTAAAGAGCAGTGGTTCTCAAATTTTACTGCACATTGAAATCACCTGGGGAGCTTTTAGAGCTCCTGATGCTTGGGACTCACCTCCCAGAGATTCTGAATAAAGCACAGAACTTGGGCATCAGGATCTGTAAAGCTCCTTGGGGATTTTAATGCAGCATCTGTGTTTGAAATGACTTCAGAGAAAGATCTCAAGTATTTTCTTCTTAGGTTATATGGGAGGATCCCAAGGAAAGACAAAGTACAGTGAACAAAATCTCAATTATCTGACTTACCTGCACAAGATAAAGGAGACAAGAATGGGCAGGAAGAGGTGCAGCATTTGCCAATGACACAGAATAAAAGCAGCATCCATCATTCTTGATGCTGGGCACGTGCCGACTGTGCTAAGAAGTAGGCCAAGCTTCACCTCTGAAGTAGCTTCAAAGGCTTTTGTCAATGAGCAAATCAACTCTAACTAAAATTGCTTGGGTAACAAACTTCATGCCATGCAATTTAGTGGTAGCTCCCCAGGTTTCAATGAGATAAATCACTTCCAGTTTACATTTGTTTTACTGTTTCAACAAGGTTGGGCAATCCCACAGATTTTCTCCATAATCTGTAGTGGACCCTCGTAACAACTCTTAGAGTTATAACTAGAAGTTCCAGACATCTAAATACATTATTAAACCTCATAGCAACCTCGTAAGGTAGGTTTTAAGCCTGTTTTACAGGGAAAACAGAGGATCAGAGAAGGTTTGTAAATTGCCTGGCCTTGATGCCAGCAAGTGGCCTGGTTGGGATGGGACTCAGGGAGGCATACCTCCAGCAGTCATGCTTTCGTATTTACTTACAATGTGTCAAGTCACCTTGTCTTTTCCCTGGCACAATTTGAAGTGACATTAGTAAATTGCTTTAATGGGTAGAATATGCTACCATGTGGCCTGAACAATCTTTCTGATACTTCACAATTTAGAGGAAAAGTGATGAGAGCCACTTCTGGGCAAACCCACTCTCAAGCCACAGTGTCAGGTGAAGATAACTGGTTACCTTATTTATCTCTGTGACTTGGCTTTACACACAGTATCAGTCCCAAACGCCAGCTGAGGGCACATTTTATACAGAGGATCATTGGGTCCAAAGGTCTTGCCTTTGTTGGGTTGACAGCCTATAGTTGGGGAAGAATGGCTTTTCTCTGAACCTGACTTTTCCCAAATTACACATGATGGGGAAGATTCCTTTGGTGACCTGAAAACTAAGAAAAATCTCTGTAGCCAATATAGCAGTTGGATTTTTTTTTTCATGTTTTTCTTATTCCTCTAACTAGTCATTCTTCTTTTTATTGTTGAAGGCCATTATAACCCACCCAGGTAAAGACAATTTAAGGTCTTTAAAAGAACTTTAAAGGATACCACTCCCAAATTACATAATTTCTGAAGGAAGAGAGGGACTTCAGGGCTTCCTGCAAGAAGACCGCCTTTCTTGGGACAAACGCTAGAGAAGGGAATGTTCATTCTTCCACCAGGTCAGCATTACAGTCAGCAGGAGGGAAGAAAGGAGATCTATAACTTCATAAACCATTCCTAAGAGACAACAGGGAACAGAAAATATGGCTGAATTTAAGAAAAACGAATCGCTGGGGTGTCTGGCTGCCTCAGTAGGTGGAAGAGGTAGCTCTTAATCTCAAGAGTTGTGAGTTTGAGCCCCACATTGGGTGTACAGGTTAGTTAAAAATAAAATTTTTTTAAAATAATTAAAAAAAAAACCAACAAATCCCAAGTAGGAATGTGCTACAATACCCTCCTTCAGGGGCTTTTTGATAGGACAAAGCCTCAGAGACTCTGTGATTTTACACACAATTAGAATGGACAGGGAAAAGGAACATCAGCCTGCTAGGAAAATCATGATTTTTTCTCTCTCTCTCTCTCTCTTTCTCTAGTCACTCCTGAAAAAAAAGAAAAAGGAAAAAAAAAAAAAAAGGAGCTTACAAAAATAACCTGAGATTAAGAAGGGTTAGAATAATAGGACCCCGCCTTGGCTGCAGACTGTAGTTAAGATTTTAGATTCTCTGGCACTAAAATTAATGTCTCTTACTGTAGAATAAACTGCAGTTACACCGCACTGTCTACGGGTAAAAGAAATCCATCCCCATGGCACAAGAGACAGAAATGCTCCCCTGCCAAGGTGAGCAGGAGTATCCTGGCTCAAAGATGATCTCCTTGACAAACAAGGACAGAAAAGAAATGCTGCATGGCAGGCAGAAAACAAGTGCATCACGCGAACCGCGGCTGCCGCCCCCTCCGCTGCCTGGTCTTCGGAGCGGCAGCCAGGCCTCCTGGCCTCCTTCTTGGGCTGAGCTGATAAGCACCACGCACGACACGGGAGATCACGGGAGATCACCGCGGTTACTCAAGTGCTCGCAGGAGCCCTGCCAGCTGCCCCCAGGAACAGAGAGCTCCACAGTCAGGGGACCTCGGGAGATCGCGGGGGCCCGCTTCTGCTTCTAAGGTGGCTGCACACGACCAGGAATCAGAGCCTGTTTTCTCCCACAGCCTTCCTAAAACATTTAACTCACTCTCTGCTGGCCCCTACAGAAGAAGGAAAATGGGGAGATTTTATAAAAATGCTGAAAGGTGTTTTTATTTATTTATTTATTTATTTAATTTATTTATTTATTTATTTTGACGTTGCCAACCAAGAAAGAGGGGGGATATTTAGGACAGACGAAGGGTTAAATAGTTGTCAAATTCTATTCAAGAACTTCACCTTGGCGGCCACCAACGCAGAGGAGAAGATACAGATCTAGCCGGCTGCTAGCAAGGAGGCAAATGCGACGCCCCGAAAACGCCAGACTGAACCACCTTAAAAATCGATCGCCTAATTGCGTTAGAAAAATATGCGTTCTCGTGGGACGCGGTCCGGAAATCTTGCTTTCCCCCTTCAAATATTACTTAAGAGGAGGGAGAGAGAATCAGCTCTGGGCTGCGTCTCACCACTTGCTGTGCGCTCCGGAAAGTCGCGTCCAGCAGCATCAGCTTCCAGGGATCCGACACGGAGCTGGGCAGGGGGATGTAGATGTAATAAGCAACCAGCGCCACGAGGGCGGTGAGCAGGACACAGGACGACCTCATCCTCCTCCGGCTCGGCGTGCCCGCGGGTGGACGCGGAGGAGAGATCGGTGCCACCCAAAGACCTCCGGCAAGTTTTTGTAAGGGTCAGCCACTCATTCACGGGTTTCTTATGCGCCCAGGAGCCAATCAGAGGCGGTGTCGGGAGGAAGTGGGAGCGCTGACGTGCCTCCTCTTCGGTGTCCTTGCAAAGTGTTGCAGCCGCTCGGGGTTTGAGAACGCTAGCGGGCTGCGCTGGACACAGCACAGCGGGCTCAGGAGGACACAGGTCTGTATTGCACGCCCGTAACTAAGGGCTCGCTCCTGCAGGATCCCAAACTAAAACCCAGAAGAGTTTCGGTGTGATGAGTCTCTCTGTGTGTGCAAAGCCCGTGGGCCACTCTGACTCACAATGGAGATACTGAGGAAGAATAAAATTACACTGTCTTCTAGAGCCAGACTTGCAATGGAATATAAATTCTAGCTGATAAGTGCTGGAAAAAGATACTAAATTCCCATAGTTCAATCAGTGACGGGCCAGTAGCCTAGCTAGCATCCAAGTCTTGGTTTCAAATCTCATTCGCCAGTAAAAAGAACCAGGACTCTGATGGCTGAGGGTGATTCCAAGACCGGGGTAAGTAAAGTACAAGTTGAGTCTGTTGTGCTAGAAGGTAAGGAAGTGCTCAAAACTGATGGGACTGGTCAAAAGGACACAGGTGACAGCCTGAAGGATCTCCCAATAGCTAAAGGGGGGGGGGGCTAGTTTTAGCATCAAAAATAAATAATTAATGGATTATAAATAACATAAAAGCCAGAAATCTATATAATATACAAGAATAAATAAATAAGGAAATGCCACCTGAAAAAAAATTCTTTCAGTGGGTCAATGAAAGCAGAAAAATCACTTGAGTCCACATTTCCGATGGGGGAAGAGAGGGTGGATATAGAATGGGCCCAAGAACTTTACTAGCAGAATTACAAGCAGAGATCCAGGAGGAAAATATTTGGAAGAACTGTTTTAAGGAGGTGGTATGAAGACAGCTCCAAACTTATCAAACTAGGCCTTAAATCACTTGGTACATATAATTTTTCACCTTAATATAGTCATTTATATTTAATCTGTTCCAGAGAAGTGAAATAGTCCCAAGTATGGGACTGATAATGAGATTATTAGGAGAAAATGTGTTTCTTGTTCGAAGTTGGAAGAAAACATTTATGTAAAGAGGACACTTCAATGGCATTTCAAGCATTCAAGTTTGAAATCATTGTTTTGTAGCTTTTGTTGTAGCCACTGGTTAAGCATGTAACTCTAAACAGAAAGAGTTGTATATGTTTGTGGGTGAGTGCATGTGCATAAAGTTAGAAGCTAATCTTTATAGGTGATTAGAAATAATCCCAGAGATACCAACCAAACTGACTACTGAATTAATATAATCTGTTTTCAGGTAATCTGTAAAATAATTCAAAGTTTTACTTTGTAGATTTTGATATTTTCTTCCTAGATTTTGATTATATTCATAAAATCATAGATCTTAGAGCTGGTGACAAACCACAACAAACCCCCCACATCTGACTCATAGCTTTTATCTTTAGCAGTAGTAACAAGCTCAGTTTTATTGACAAAATTCTCGAGGCCAGGAGCAGCTTGCTCACAGTCCTCCAGTTTGTAAGCGATAGAACCAATATTTACTTCTCTTACCTCCTAGTGCAGTACGATTTCCCTTAAGCAGTACGCTAAGAGACAAACCAAGAAGGATGGAAGGAACCACTGTAACTCTCCATGCTTCTGTAAATCTCAGAAGTTTAAAAAAAAAAAAAGAGAGAGACCGCTTTGAGATAAATTTAAACATCTTCATTACTTGTTTCCAATACTTCATTCATTCAACATATATACCTAGCCTAGGAAATAAAGGAGTGAGGCAAGGCAATAAGGACTCTGCTCTTTTTTATTTTTCACACTTGGTGGTGATGGGGGCGGGCGTAGGGAGAATGTAAAGAAGGTACAAGAAAATGGTCTGCAGTAAGATACAAGTTGGGACCTTTGACCAAAGATATTTATTGCTTAAAACTGGGCACATTCTATTTTCTAAAAATTGCTGTGCTCTCCAGGGAACTGAATGTTATTCTGATGTCCTTGGTGGATCTACCCACGAGAAAAGGGGTAGTCTATGTAGATGACTGGGCATAGTTGTTGGTCCTGAGTTGTATCTGATGGAAAGTAATCAGGGTTCCAGACAATCTCATGCGAATTTGAATATCCTCTTCAAGTAAGTTCCAGACTCCTTTACAGACCTTACTCTGGGCTGGTCTGGCTGCCCCTGCCTACCTCTGTAACTCACCTCTTGCCCTCTCCATCTTTATTCTATGCTGCAGCCACATTGGCTTCCTTCCAATCAGATACGCTAGGGCTTTTCTGCCTCGGGATCTTTATACATGTCATTCCGTGCTGTTTCCTCTGCCTGGCACTCTGCTCCTGTTTTCCATCCTCATTGGCTTGTTCTTATTACTGAGATCTCTGCTTAGATGTCACTTCCTCCGAGTGACAATATTTTGTAAAGTTCAGCATGTAATTGGGCCCTGAAGCTTGTGAGTACCTTCTGTAACTGCTAAGTGACTACCTATTGGTCTTATCTTCCTCACAAAGTTAATTTAAAAGACCTACCTCTGAGTAAAGATGGAAATGAGTTGGAAAGAGCGTTATGTTGCTGGGTACTTATATCCTGAAGGAACCATTTTTAAAGTGATTTTCAATATTTCTGAAAACACTAAAATGATTTTATTTCAGAATCTTGTTTCAGAAAGACTAGTGGATATTTGCCTGCTTAAAAGCCAATCTTTTAGCAGTGTCATGGTTAAGTGTCTTTTCTCCATTTTCCATTTTTTTTTTTCAGATTCTCAGACTGATGCAAAAAACTATGGGTAACATATTTAAGGCTTATCTTCCTATGATTCCTGAGAAAGTGACTTCATAATTTTTTTATATAAAGTGGCTCCTCCCATTTTATGTGTGCACCTAGGAACCAGATATTTTTTTTCAGGCATACGTATGCAATTATGTATCAAGGAATTGATAATATTCAAGCTTATATAACGTCACAATATATCACAATTACCTTATTACCTTGGGACATAGATGTCATTTGTTTTCTAAGGTCTGCAGACATTTACCAATGACCTACTAAGTACTGAACACTATCATGCTTGGGGATGGGATAATATCCCTGCATGGAAGGAGTGTTCAGTCTACTAGGAAAAAAAAATAAACAGTACACAGGAAAATGAAAGAAAAATTGCTAAGTGCTATAGTAGAGGTGTAGAAAGAATAGTTTTCAAAGGTGTGTAGAAGCACATCAGACACACAAGTGGAGAAAGGCATATGCAAGTATACTGTGTAATCTAAGGTTTGTGGCAAGAGCATGAAACCTTCAGAGAGCAGCTTCTCCTGATGTTATGAATAATACAGAATAATAAAATTAATCAGCAGAAGTTTCAGGTCTGTTTTTGTTGTTTTTAAGTAGGCCCCACACCCAACATGGGACTCAAACTCACAACCCAGAGATCAAGAGTCATATGCTCTACCAGTTGAGCCAGCCAGACATTCCTCAGGTCTGTTCTTAACTGAACTACCAGTGGAACCAAAGATAGTGATGTACAATCAGAATTTATTTCACTGATTTAAATGAATGTATATATATCAAAGATAGGAAAATCTGTCTATGCATCTCAGGAATAAATGACTTCTATTGATAAAATATGCTTTATAATAATTGTTTAAAATATCCACTGGCCTAAGTTTAGGCCAGGTAGTCAGGATGACATTTAAAATTTAGCAATTAGACATGCTAAAAATAAATCAAGTGGGTTATATCTTTCAGTTAGGTTTCTCTACTGTTTCTTGGTTTTTAAATATGGCTTATCTCAGAAAAATAAACCGTTGGTTAGTTCTTTTGGGCATTTACTTTTGTTAGTCCCCAGAATATGCCCAGAAGTTATTCTTTTTATTTTTTTATTTTTTTTAAAGATTTTATTTATTTATTTGACAAAGCGAGAAAGACACCACAAGTAGGCAGAGAGGCAGGTAGAGAGAAAGGGAGAAGCAGGCTCCCTCTTGAGCAGAGAGCCTGATGCGGGGCTCGATCCCAGGACCCTGAGATCATGACCTGAGCCGAAGGCAGAGGCTTAACGCACTGAGCCACCCACGTGCCCCAAAGTTACTCTTTTTAAAAATTTGAACCCCAGATTTAAGTTCTTACCTATTCTAGTGTCTGCCCTAAGCTCTATAGCCGGGTCCCAACTCAGTCCTAGGCACATAGCCAAAGTTCAGTAAATACATATAGCAGATAAAATCTAATATTGAGATCTGAAGGGCCGACAATGTGAAAATCATCACCTCTCTTCCATAGCTAATATAATCAGGTAACAAAATGAATATAACACAATAACAAAAAACAGTAAGTTTACTAAATTCAAATCTGTTTTTTATGTATGTCTAATTTTGGGAAGTAATCCAAAACTTTTGAATATCTCCTCTGAGAGAGAGCACTTGGAAATACCCAAATCCTTTTTTTAAAGTAAAACTTTTATCCCTATTTTATTTTTTCCAGATTTATTGAAATATAATTGATATGTCACATTGTATAAGATTAAGGTATACAATGTATTGATTTGATACACTTAAATATTGCGAAATGATTACCCCCAAGGCATTACCCAATACCTCCATGGTGTCACATATTACCATTTCTTGTGGTGAGAACATTTGAGATCTACTCTTCCCTCAACTTTCAAGTATATAATTCAGTATTATTAACTATAATCACCATGTTATACATAAGATCCCCAGAACTTAGTCATCTTATAACTGGCAGTTTGTACTCTTTGATCAACATCTCCCCATTTTCCTACCTCCTCCCCAGGCAACCACCATTTTGCTCTCACTCTCAGTGAGTTTGGCTTTTTTAGATTTCACAAATAAGTGATGTCATTCAGCATTTTTCTTTCTGTGTCGGACTTAAAAGTGGCAGTTTGTACCCTTTTACCAAACTTTCTCTATTTCCCCTACCTCCCAGCCCAAGGCATTCATTTTTCTACTCTGTTTCTAAGTTTGACATTTTATTTTATTTCATTGTTTTAGATTCCACATACTAAGTGATATCATGCAGTAATATTTGTCTTTCTCCATCTGGCCAATTTCACTT